AACACAGCTGCTCGGCCAGCCTTTATGGCCTCATCTGCCTGTTGAATTGACTACTACAGCTTTTGTAAGTTACCTTCAATTCCTTGAAGCCCCAGCCCTAACCTGCTCCTTCCCCCCACCCCTCGCCCACCACCACCACCACCTGCAATCCCCAACACAACAGCTTTTACTGTATCCAGACAATGGATATTATCCAGTTTGGACTCCCCCTTGTACTTCTGTGACGTGGTGGCTGCCTCTGGAGATGGGTGGTGTGATGGCCCAGCTGCCCTCCTGTCCTCTTCAACCACGTTTCTTCATCCATCCATCCTGCATAAAGGGAGACGTGCCTCTCCTCTTCATGGCAGACGACCCATGACCACGCCCAGGGCCAGATCCTCGGGAACTTTCACCAAAACTTTCATTCCACCCTTTACTTATTCTCCCCACCTCAGTCTGGCCTAGACACTGTGGCCAAGTTAGCACTATAACTCAGCTCAGAAACCAACAATGACTGCATGCTACTGACCTTTTTTTTTTTTAAGATTTTATTGGGGAATCGGGGAAGGGGAACATACAAGTTTCTGTCCTTTTGTTCTTCAGTCTAGTTGTGGAGGACACCGCTTCCATGGCCCATGTTGGTATCATCATTGCGCTCTTCCCAGGTGAGCCAGATCGGTCGCCGGCCATTGGACGGCCATTCACGGTGGCTCATGCCGGCTGCCAGCCACTCACGGTAGCTTACAGCAGCCCCCTGCAGCCCCCCTGCAGTCTATGCTGTCACCGGTGACTCATGGCAGCCCAGCTCCGGGTTGAGCTGTTGTTCACCATCTTAGCTGTAGAGGGCAGCATCACTGGCCCATGTGGGATCTGAATTGGGGCTCTGCTGCTCAGAGCTTTCATTCCCAAGCCAGCTCTTAACCAACAAGCCACTCAGCCGGCCCCCTATTAACCTTGTGATGTTCAATTCCTGCCCCTCCACCCTCTGGTTTCAGCCTACCATCTCAATCTGCTTCTCTTCATAAATCCTACGCTTCATCACCCAGAACCTTGTTAATCCCCATCTGTAACCTAAGGTTTCTCATCTCTCTGCCTTTGCTCTTTGTTTCTACCAATCCCACCCTCATTCATCCCAATCTAAATGACAAAATTCAATCCATCACTTGAAATTCATCTCAAGGACCACTGCCTCCGTGCAGATTTTGCTGATCTCCCCACTAGGATGTTGATTGTTTCTTCTTTTAAACCCTTAGGGTGTGAATGTTCACCTCTCTTGTTCTATGTTCTCTACCCTCTCTTACAACAGAAGTTATGTCATTCTCAGAGTCACCTGGGTGTTCTCCAAAATTGTGTATGCCTGGGCCCCACCCCAGAAATTCTGACTCAGTAGCTGGAGTGGAGCCCGCATCTGTATTGTTAATACAGATTCTGATGTAGAGCTAAGACTGAGAACCATTGCCTATTTTGAATTTTTCCTCACCGAACAGAACAAAGGGAATTACTAGAAAGCATCAATGGAAAGGTAAGTTTGAATCAGATCTCTGAACCTCAGTTTCCTTGTCTTTAAAATGGTGATAATAACCCCTACTTCTTTGGGTTGTTATGAAGCTGAAAGGATGATAATGAATAGCTAAGAATCCTACAGAGTGCAGATGCTTAATACACGTTTCCCTCACTGGATAGTAAAGACTGCCAACTTAGCACAGTGTTTAGTACGTGCTGGTTTCTGTGATTTTTAACTTAACCATTTATACTCGTTGCAAAGGGTACATGTTACAGGCCTAGGTTTCCTGGCTGCACTGAGCACTGGTCACTGAAGGAAGCTGCATGGAAGTTACTTCATCACTCTGTGGCTTAACTCTGGAGCACTTCTCTTTCTGGAAAAGTAGATCTTTTCAACATTGCTAACTCAATTCACAGAATGGACACATGAACGAGTATGGCCATAGCTTCACATTCATAATACAAAGAGGAAAACCCTCTGGAGGGTTTACACAGAGCTTTTACATATACCATTTCGTCTAATCCTCTTGAGGCCATACGAGGGAGATGTTAATTTACCAGTTTTATATACGTCAAAGTTGAGGCTCAGAAGAATTGAGATGATTCGCTAAAAATTGGATAAGTAGAAAGTGGCAGAACTATAATTCAAACCTGGTTAATATAATTTCAAGTCCAATGCTCTTTACCCTTCTTTGCAACTGATCCAACAATTATCCTGTTAACTTGACCAGAGTGTGTAGACATCCATCCTGATCATCAAAGTTCAAAAATGCTTAATGCAGAGGACATTTTGCCTTGGCTTATATGAATCAAATTAGCCATACGCTTCACTAGGTATACATTTGAGCTTAGAGCATGCTTTTTCCTCTACATTCCCCGTTGGCAAACTCCTACTCATCCTTCAAGATTCAGGCACATATGAACACTTCCAGGCAGTTTTCCCAGCTACTCATGCTCATCCCAACTGGCTGGACCCATTCTTTTTTCTTTTTTTTCTCTTTAAAAAGAAAACAGACTATATCTAAATGCTCAGTTTCATCTCTTTAGTCCTCAAAAGAAAAACTGAGCTATAAAAATGCAAGTTGCTATCTGCTGTGGAGCAGATGATCAGACTAGGTTGCTACCTAAAGCGGGTGGCATTAGGGAGACAGAACAAGTCTCCATTGCCTTGCATTGTATTATCTCAGTCCAAGACTAAATGTTCCTCATCTTCTTACTTGCTCTGAAATTCATCTTATAGGGAATAATGCCTTTGGGTTTTTATTTTTAATTTGTTTGTGTGCTTGTTTTTTTTTTCTATTCTTAGTAAGAAATTGACTTAAAAGGAAATAGCTAAGTTCATACTGAGGTGTAAATGACTGATAGCTGATCCTTTCCCAGAAGCAAGATTTCCAAGGGGAGAGAACTTTCAACAACTCTGGGTTCCAGGCATCAGAAGGGGTGAGGCATACACACCATGGAGGCAGGTGGTGGTGAGGTGTGAAGAAAGGATTCAGAAAGCAGGAGCTAGAGGCCCTGGAAATAAATGAGGCCTTTTCCACCATTGCACTGGGGCTAGACCTATTGTCAGGGATCCGGACCCAACAATTCTTTTTAACACAACATATAAATGCCAGAGAACTGAGTTCACCAATGTGTTAGATTATTATCTAAATCACTTACCATTATGTTGAAAATAAAGTACATTTACAAGTCTTGTAAACAAGTCAGTGCAAGCCAAATAACTCAACATAGGGTAGACCAATGTTACAGCTTCTTATTCAGAAAAAGAAAAAGAAAAAAGGTGTTTTTTGTTTTTGTTTTTGTTTTCACGAAAGACCCAAAGTGGAGGAAGCCACATCATGACTAAATTGTGCACCCAGGGAGGGTTAACATGATCATGACCTTAGAACATCTTGAACAACTTGGAGGGGAAAGCTACCACATGCATACAGGGAATAAGTCACCACATTTCTGCCTATTCACAATCTACTCCTTCAAGGCTCAGTGGAAATTCTATCTCCATCATGAAGCCTTCCTTGATTCCACTTCCCCGCCCCCCATTGCTATTTTCTCCAGACTCCCACAACATATTATCTGAGCTGCTATTAATTTATCTCCAATAATCTATTACCCATCACAGCCCCTGGCATATGGTAGGTGGCAGAAGTGTTTACTGAGTGAATGCACTAACCTACACAATGAACACTAATCTGCTGTCCAGATATGTTCTAACCCAAGACACATTTCTTTAGATTGTTTATAAAGATTGTAAGAAATATTAGGAGGAGGGAATGGCACTACTTACCATAGCATCTCAAAGACATTATTTACATATTAATACAAGTGACAGAACATATATGTTGACATATATTTACACACAAAATACCTACCATTCAGAATATATGTAAATGAATAAAAGACTATGGTAACATAACCTACATGCACGTAGAGTCAGAATAAGTGGGTTGAGGTGACATGATTTGGAACGCAAACCCAAGGGTCCCTGACCAATATAGCCTTTTAGGTAGCCACATCGTCTGCAAATCCTCTCAGTGTCATTTTCCTGGGGAATATGTGACATCTCATTCTCCTTCTTCCTGTCTCCTTCTCCATGAACACAAGCCAAGGTAACCCAGGTGTTATAGGTCTAGAACTCCTGCTCCATTATGAGCCAGCTGGGCCCTCGAGTGGAGACTATAAAACTGTCTGTTGTAGTAGCTGCCAGCTCAGTCTCTCTAAACATACCACCTAGGGTTGAATCCTGGCTCCTCCACAAACTTAGCATGTGACTTTACAAGTCATCTCACTTCTCTGGATTTAATTTCATCTGCCAAATGCGGATAATTGCACCTTCCTCCCAGGGTCGTGCGAGGATGGCTAGAGGTAATATTTGTACTGCATGTATATCTGGGACATAATATAAGTATTCAGCAAATTTTATTATTACCATCATCAGTATTGCTTTCTTTGTCTTTCCTGTGGAAAACCAGCTTGTAGGCTGGGGATTTTCTAATGCATTGATGCCAAAACCACATCCTCCGGAAGCTGCTCCAAGACCCCCATACAAATCCTGCTTTGTGACAGCTCACCCAGACACACTCTTTCACATGAAGCAAGGGTGAGCAAGTATAGAGATTCTCGAACTGGGCTCCTCAGTCCCAAGATAGCTACTGCTAATCTAACAATACTCCCCTATGTAAATTAATGGAGCCTCAATATCTCCCACACCCAGCAAATACAAACCCATAGATAACTGCTGTTGATTAATGTCAGGATCAGTCTCCTGTTCCTTTTCCTTGACCAGATGATTTTGCAAAAGTAAATATCTAACTAAAAACCCCAAAAGCAAAGAGTAGCAAATTGCACTTTTTTTCTGTTGAAAGACTCCTCCATTTTGGGGCACTAAATCACATTATAACATTGCAAAATTGTCAGAATGTAATTAACCTGTGTTTCTTCACATTCCTGATGTGGCAATTGTTTAAGGCATGGCTTTATAAAGGGCCAAACGAGAGGAGTGAGGAACACATGACTCTGTAAACACTCGGGCACCCACCAGGGACAGACCCTACACAGAGGAACAGAGAGGAAGGCCAGGAGAAGTAGAATCTGAAGGAAAAGCCATGTTCAGTCTGAAGACGCTTCCACTTCTGCTCACACTCCAACTCCACATGCAGCTTTCCAAGGCCTTTCCGGTATCTTCTGAATCCCAACAAGAGAAAAATTTAGAAGTTGTTCAGGTAAATTGACAGGTGGGTGGTTGATTTGCTGGTTATTTGGAAATTGTGTGGGTTGTGTTCTCTTTTTATTTAAAACAGCCTGAAAGAAGATATGTGGATGATTTGTTTGAGCTTGAACAACTCATTTCAGTGATTTGGGGACTTCCAAGCTGGATCCTCTAAAAGCCAGGCATGAAATCAAGCTGTTTCTTCAAACCCTGGGAAAACACTGCTGCTGAGCTGCCTCCAACTGGGGAACCCTTTTAGGAGGCACGGTTTTAAATACAAAACTAAGTGGTTCTCTCTGTTACTTACCTAAGATTTCCCCTTCTAGTCTAGCTATACCAGTTACTACATGTCTGGTGCTTTCTATATGACTTATCTTTACAGCCCCAAATCCCAGGTGTAGAAGACAGCATCAGGATGGGATATTATAAGGAACTAAAATCTGTTTATAGTGTAATCAGATTTCCTTATACCAGATTATGAGGCTGTTTATAAATAAACTCTTGGAAGCTCTATAAAAGCAGAACCTGTAGCTTTTTTCTGTTGTTTCACAGTATGAACGTCAGGCCAAATTTATTTTAATTATTTTTTTAAAGATTTTATTGGGGAATTGGGGGAAGGGAACAGCATTGGGGAATCGGGGAAGGGGAACAGACAAGTTGTCCTTTTGTTCTTCAGTCTAGTTGTGGAGGACGTTGCTTCACTGGCCCATGTTGGTATGATCATTGTGCTCTTCCCAGGTGAGAAAGTCACTCACCAGCCATTGGACGGCCGCTCACAGCAGCTCACGGCAGCTCACACTGGCTGCCAGCCACTCACGGTATCTCACAGCAGCCCATTGCAGCAGGGGTCATTGCCGGCAACTCACGGCAGCCCAGCTCCAGGTCGAGCTGTTGTTCATGGTCTAAGCTGTAGAGGGCACAGCGTCACTCATGTGGGATCCGAACCGGGGCCCAGTTGCTCAGAGCTGGTGTCCCAAGCCAACTTCTAATCAATGTGCCACTCGGCCGGCCCATCAGGCCAAATTTTTAAGAAACACAAGGGAATGCTGTCACAAATTTGTCATGCACAATTTTTTTAGCATTACAGTTTTAGAAAAGCATTCATGTTGTTTTTTCTTTTACTTTTTAGAAATATCTCACAATGGTAATAATAACTTCTGAGCCAATAGCCAGAGTATGTTGAGTGTTTACCCTGTACAAGGCACTCTGCTAAATATTTCACAAATGTTATCTCATTTCAGCCTTACGACAACCCTGTGAAAGGAGTATTATTATTTCCACTTTAGAGGCTAAAGTGAATCTTAAGTCAGTTAAGTAATATGTCCAAAAACTTAGTTACTTTGTAGCAGAGCTAAGATTTGAACCCAAATCAATCTGATCCCAAAGCCTGTGACAGCACAAATGTGCTCTCTCCTGTGTCATTTGCAAAGTGCCAGGTGTTCACAGGATGCTTAAGGCAGAAGAAAGAAGTTTTATGATTAGCTTACCTCCTCAGAATATTTACTTCCTAATGAGTGTCTCCCTTTTCAAAGAGTTACTGTGGTGGATAAAATGCTAATATCAGTGATGGCTGCGGTTGCCCCAGAACTTACTGGGGCTCTTCTTTTGAAATTGTTAATTTTCATTTGAGAAGCAACATGGTGAGTTAGAACCTGAATTGTCACCTCGGCAAATTCCTTCCTTCTCTGTAGCTCCATTTCTTAATGAAGATGCGTAAATCCTCTCTACAGTAGTGAAAAGAGGATTAAAAGAGAGAATCTGCACTGAGGCAACTAATCTCTTAAGAAGTCAATAAAAGCTAGTGCTATTCTTTTATATAAAAATAAGAAGGCAGTCCCCTGGCTGCTTTCTAGCATTTTGCATGAGGACTTGGACCTCATCCATTATGAAATACCTAGGTTTATGAGTAAACATTAACTGGAGCACTGACAGAGGGGATCTTCTTTCCAATAGGTACTGTTCTTTTAAAGTCAACTTACAAGTTGTGTTTTTGTACCTGTGACTCTCAGGTTATTAGATTGTTATACTAGTAAGTCTGCAGTAACTTAAAAGAAATGCAAATGCTCAGAGGATGAAGGTAATTTCACAGCAAGTTCCCTCGTATGTTTGTCTTTGTCCAGAATTACCTACAAAAGTTCTACCATTTACCAAGGAACAGCTATGCATTTGAAAGGAAGAACAGTGCTAGTGTGATTGTTCAAAAGCTTAAAGAAATGCAGCAATTCTTTGGGTTGAATGTGACGGGGAAGCCAAATGAGGAAACTCTGGAGATGATGCAAAAGCCTCGTTGTGGAGTACCTGACCATGCCGAATTTTTGTTAACCCCAGGAAACCCCAAGTGGAAGCAAACTGACCTGACCTACAGGTGATATTTTCAGAGTTTCGAAATTCATTCATTCACCCAATGTTTATTGAGCGTTTATGATGTGCTGGGTACCATTTTAGGACTTGAGATACACCAGAGACAAATAAATAAACATTCCTGCCCTTGTAGAGTTCAGATTCTAGTGAATGAGTATGAGAATGAAAGGGTCAAGTTCTTATGGGTTCTCTTCACTCCAAAGTCTGCCATTTTTGTCTTCCTTCTCTAATAATCTAAAGAAGATTATGGCAATGTTAGGCTGTCTCTCTAGTAGCTCACTTTAGGACCCAAAACAGGCTTAATCACTGCTGGAGAGAATCTAGCCCCACCTTTCATGCATCTTGATGATGATGATGATGATGATGATGATGGTGATGGTGATTATGATGATGATAATGATAATTATGATAATACCCAACATTTATTGAATACTACTATTTGCCAAGTAGTGAACTATGCTTTATATGTATTTAACTACCCATAATAACTCTATCAGAGGAGTCCTATATTATTATCCTATTTTATTTATCATTTTATAAATAAGAAAACTGAGTTTAAAGACATATAATAACTTGTCCAGAGCCCACATCTGTCTTCAACCCTGCATCCTGCACACTCTCCTTATACCCTCTCCAGTCTATGCAACTCATTTCAAAATGAAGAGACTCCATCTGTTGATGGACTGCTGTTCTAAACAATAATGAGCCCATTCACACATCTTCTCATTTTGAAGGATTACTAACTATACTCCACAACTGTCAGAGGCTGATGTGGATGCAGCTATTGAGAAAGCCTTTCAAGTCTGGAGTGGTGCATCACCCCTGACCTTCACCAAGATCTTGCAGGGAGAAGCAGACATCAATATTGCTTTTGTCCAAAGAGGTGAGCTAGAAGCAGTCATGCTCAATTTTGTTTCCTCTGGTTAATGTGAGACTTGGCAAAGACCTAACACAAATTGTTTCATTTCAGATCATGGTGACAATTCTCCATTTGATGGACCTAATGGAATCCTTGCTCATGCCTTTCAACCAGGTCAAGGTATTGGAGGAGATGCTCATTTTGATGCAGAAGAAACATGGACCAAAACCTCCGAAAGTAAGTTAACCAAGATTAGGTCAACCTGCAGCTTCTTAATAAACATTTGTCATATTAGAATTCACACACACACACACACACACACACACACACATATCCAAGTTGTTGTAACCCTTCACACTCATACAAACTGACCATTTAAAATTTTCCTACCTCAAGAAACTCAGTCAATTTAGGTTTAAAAAAAATATATTGAGGTTATTTATTGACCTTATTTACTAGGGTAGGAATCAGAAAGCTACAGACCATGGCCGAATCCTGCCTGGCCCTGTTTGTATAAATAAAGTTTTACTGGAACAGCAGCACACTTACCTGTTTATGTATCACCGATGGCTGTTTTCATGCTCATTGGCAGAGCTGAGTAGTTGCAACAGAGACCATATGGCTCACAAAGCTTGAAATATTCACTACCTGGACCCTTAAAGAAAAAGTTTGCTGACCACTGACTGCCTTAGGGTATATCTTTTTTTCAATATTCTGAAATTTAATGATGTGTGAAAAAGGTCCTGTTTTTGGAAACTCAGAAATAATTGGGTGAATTTAGAAAATTGCCCTACTTAGAAAAGAGCAGCCATCTTTTTTTTTTCACCTACTTACTTTGTCTACACCTAGTTCTTTTTCAATCATCTGTTCATACATAGCAAGCTACCTCTTTCAGAAGACTCAGAATAAGAAGGGTTGACCACTTGAAGGGAAGAATTGAGGATAAGGACAGGTATATCCAATCCATATGGTACTTCACAAGGCCATGGGGTAACAATATGTCACAGAATACATTTTAGAAGATAATAAGAAAGGAACCTTTCACCTTGCTTGGCCTTGTTCCTCCCACCATTTTCTCAACCTATATGTTGTGAGTATTTATTCTATGTTAGTCCCTGTGCTAGGAACTGTGTGTACCCAAAGATAAATAATGTCCATAACTACTTCACATTCCTATTGCCCTCCACACTAGGTAAGATGGTCATTACCTCTTATCTAAACTAAATGATCCAGATTCCCACCTGGACTGTTCACCTCCAATCTCTTCTCCCTCTAAGTTTCCTAATACTGCAGCAAGGTTTGTCTTTGGAAAGCCCATCTGGGATTATAATAGTTCCCTGCATAAAGCTTTCAGTGTTTACATTTTCTGGACCAAATAATGTCCAAATACCTTTGTTTAGCACTGAAAGCTCTTGTTTTTCCAACCTCATCTTTGTCTTCATATTTCACATACAGTGGCCACATTGTACATTTACTGATCCTAGATCACCATGTGCTTTCCAACTTCCCTGTATGTGCTCACATTGCTTCCTCTTCCTAAAATGACCTTCTCCACACCCCAAACACCCCAAATCTCTCTCTTCCCACGCAGTGTCAAATGCCACTTCCATTTTTTTCTTTCAACAGGAAATGAGGCTTTCCTCCTCAGAATCCTGACTGCTCTCCTTATTATTCTGTGCATTCAACTTTTTGCATACATCTCTCCTTTCAGGCTATTTGTCATAATAAATACCCCAGAGCCCCTCTCATAGGACTCCAGGTACTCAAACATGTTTTTTGAAATGCATTCGTGAATGCAAAAAAAAAAAAAAAAGGATATCGTGATCAAGAAAGCAAACCTTGGAACATGGGTAGAATTTTTCAAGGCTACTTATCAACAGGAAGTTGAACATTGTGATAAGAGCACAAGTCTTTCCATCATTCCTAGGACTGACCCCAGCTCTACCACTATTAGTTGCAAGAGTAATAACAAGATATTCAAAACCTGTGGGCTTCAGTTCCGTACTGGAAAAATGTTTCTAACAATATCTCATCAAAATGTTGTGAGGATTAAGTAATATTTCACTTCTTAGCATGTAGAAAGTATAACTATGACTTAAAATGTCAGCATGTAAGAAAATTGGCAGTGTGTTTGTGAGATGGCCTATAGACTGGCTGAAATGAAGGATTCACATCAGAAGTCAAGCCCTCAACTGTCTCCTGGAGCCAAGTGGAGAGATCTCAGACTTGGCAAAGGTGCTTGGGTTTTGTTTAATAAGAAGTAAGGACCTTGGAAGTTTTTACATTCCCAGTGGTGAAAGGCACTATGCTCGTGGAAGTTAAAAGATGAGGGAAGGGAGCAATAAGAGGCAGGCTATGTCTCCTTCTGGCAGAGAATTCCTGAAGCTGCTTGGAGAGCTCAGAATGAGAGAAGAGCTGGTGCTAAGCTGAGGGTGATAAGTGAGCCTGCTCTGCATCCAAGGCTACTCTGCTGCCTGGCAGGATCCGTATGTTACTATTGGTTTACTGTGACTCTATTAATGGAGCTGAGGGCTGGGAGACTGGAGAGGGGTGAGAGTGGATGCACAACAGGAGAGGGCTTCTGAGTGTCATGTGACCTGTGATGGTTCAGCCATCATTTCTCTAAGCCTCAGGTCCACACCCATGAATTATGTAAATCAGAATATAAGCAGTTTTTCTTTATTCTAAGATTTGATGAGAAGCTCATGTTCACCTCATCTCAACCTATAACTCCTACCTTGATTCCTTTTAATCTTCCTATTTGCAGGTACCTGAAGGGGGGGGAAAGAAAGGAAGGCATGGGAAGGGCTATTTCTTCAGGCAGTTTTGGCTTAGAAGCTGCATTCCTTGCGATCATATCCCCACCACACTTGGATATACTTGGAGCCATTCACCACACATGCTTGCATTTCAGATTACAACTTGTTTCTTGTTGCTGCCCATGAATTTGGCCATTCATTGGGGCTTTCTCACTCCTCTGACCCTGGTGCTCTGATGTATCCCAACTACGCTTTCAATGAACCCAGCACCTACGCACTCCCTCAAGATGACATCAACGGCATTCAGGCCATCTATGGTAAGGTCATCTGAAGAACACTGCAGTACATGGTGAGACCTGGGCATGTCAAGGGTGTTCACTGCAGTCTTGTCTGTCTGGCAAGATGTTGGAGGGCACCTGGGAGTCCATTGGGAGGAGAATGTTCAAGTAAAATGTGCTGGATGCGTGCCATAGAGTAATGTGCAGCAGTGAGAAGCACTGAATTGGATGTACATATGGCAACAACATAGATGGGGCTTTAAAACATTGTGCTTTATGGAAAAGAAACAGAATGATACGCATTACACAGTGTATGAATTAAATTGCACAATATATGAACCTACATAAATTAGAAATGCACATAGATAAAGAAAGGAATTTTCAAGAAACATGCTAACCAAAAGATATATATTGAACATATTAAGATTGTTGTCTGGTGGGGGGCAGGGTGGAAGAGGGGAATGGAAATGGAGTATGGAGAAATAGAAACATTTTGTGAAGACATGACAGAAACCTTTCAGGGAGAGATGTAGAGGCCTCTGGCCCTGTTGTAAGAAGTGCTGTCTGGGTAAGACCATTGTATCTCTCCTCCCTCTGGCCCTCCTAACCTCTAGTGTCTGTAAGAACGAGAAACCAGAGAAGAGATTTGCAGCTCTCCAAAAAGTGTTGAAGGGAGTAGACTGGAAGAGAGTGCAATGGAGTACAATTGGGGAAAGCAATCTGGCCTCTCTGGTGGGACAGCATTATAAAACCAAGCATGCCAGGATACCACAACTAGGGAATTTTTTCATCACAGTAGAATGTTTAGGAATGAAGAGACCTACTCTAACTATCTCTAGTTCCCAACTCCTTTCCCCCTGAAAACATCTCTTTCCTTTGCTCATCAATGTTTTAAATCTTCTTAACTATTCATATAGCCCTTCTACAATGAGAAAACAGAGTAACATACAAATACTTACAGAAAAATTATTGCTAAAATTTGACTTAGATTTATGCTATGGAGGGTAAAAGATTGATATCAGCTCCTTTTCTGCAGCTGGATTTTGGTGGGGAAGTAAGAATTGGATATTAAGTGACCAAAAATGCAGAAAAAGGGTGCAAGAAAGTAGAGAAGGATGGGATTAGAATTTTAAGTGGAGGGGCATTGAATTCAAATTTCTTTACTTCACAGTTTAACCTGGAACTGTCTCTGAAAATCACCATTACTCTTATTAAAAAAGAAAAAAAATATGAGGGCCCAGTGTACAGTTACTTTGATGCCTTGCCTGTGTGATAGTCTGGTAGCATTTCTCTTCATGTGAGACCCTTCACCATCCTGAGAAGTACTGAAATACAATAAAGAATCATGGTGGACTTATGCTTATAAAAAGTCTTTTTTTTTCCCCCAGGACCTTCAGATAACCCTATCCAACCGACTGGACCAACCACACCCACAGCCTGTGACCCCAGACTGACATTTGATGCTATCACCACACTCCGTGGAGAAATACTTTTCTTTAAAGACAAGTATAAGATGGAACTATTCTTTTCCTTGGTTTCTTACTGGCATAACTTAAAACAGGATTCTAATTTAGTACTTATTACACATTACTCCACTTTTCCTTTGAATTCTACACATATGCATCTCATTGAAATTTACAGTGTTTTCTGGGTGACTCAAAATATCCAGAAAAAGAAAACCTACACATTCAGATGTGTATGGTGACTTAAACAGACACGGGCTCTAGCTGCTTGGGAACTCCATAGCTAGATTTATCCAACACCAAAACATCACTCAATTCCACCAAGCTCAGTCAAGTAAATGGAAATGATCACTTAATAAGCTGCAAGGCAAGTCCTCTAAGTGATTGAATTTTTCAGTTTTCCGTCAGCTGAGTGTACTTGTATTGTTTTTGCTGGAATATTTTAAATAGTCTCATCATTTTGTAGGAACGATAATGAAGGAAACTAAAATAAGATTTTGTGGGGGGTGGGACAGTACAAAATATAATCAAATAAGATCACTCCTATGACCCCCTCTGAAAACAGATGGACAATATCACCATAAAGCACTGGCCATATGTTGGTCACTGTTTTAGAAATGTTGCATTCGTTATATTGTCATGTCTCCCAGCAATCTTCTAAGGTCCAATTCTAGCCCAAGACTCACAGAAACTGCCTACTAGTCTACAGTGTGTGTGATTCTCTTCTTGGTGTTCCATTAGATACTTCTTCAGAAGGCATCCTCAGCTACGAAGTGTTGAACTTAATTTTATTTCTCTATTCTGGCCATCCCTGCCAACTGGTATACAGGCTGCTTATGAGGATCCTTACAGGGACCTAGTTTACCTATTTAAAGGTAAGTGTCTAGAGCTTTCATCTTATTTTCATTCTGTCTGAAGGGAGGGAAAGGACTTCTTTGTGATCCCTACCAGGTTTAGAGGAGGTGAGCCAATGAGAGAGTGTTATACTGGCCAGGCTTTTGTCTAGAAACCTGGGTTGAGCCCCAGCTCTGTCACTAACTACTGTGTGAACTTGAGCAGGTTGTAGACCTTCAGGCCTCAGTTTTCTCATCTACAAAATGAGGAAACCTTCGTAGATCACCTTTAGTGTTCCTCCACCCTCATCCTATATATAACTTTCTAAGATTCCCCAAGGCTATAATTTAATCTCTGTAGAGAAGTCCCATGAGATAAGACATCCAATTGTGAGGCCCAAAATGTGAGGCTAAACAGTTGGAATTTTTTTTATAGGAGCTAGAAAACCACTGGATCTGTCACAGCCTAATGAACTTCACTTTTCCAACTTGATCTTTTAAAGACCATTTGTCCTGTTTTCATTTCTATGTTAAATGTATGCAAAGACTAATAAATGATATACATTGTTCTGTAGGAATGGAAGAATGTTATCTAACATATAACTGGAATCATTTGCAGGCAACCAATACTGGGCTCTGAACGGCTATGACATTCAGCAAGATTATCCCAAGCATATATCAAACTACGGCTTTCCAAGCAGTGTCCAAGCAATTGATGCTGCTGTTTCCTACAGGACAAAAACATACTTCTTTGTAAACAACCAATTCTGGAGGTAAGGTAAACTATTTTTCCAACTAGAGATTGAAATCTTTTTTACCCTGTCTACAAACCACTAACAAACAGGCATCTAAAGGTTTTAAAAATCTAGATGGTCTTTGATAAGCATTCTGTTTCATAAGAAGATTGATGTTGTTATGGCTTTTGAAAATTTCATTTTTATAAAATTAAAATACCTGCACAAAAGTATAGAAGATTCTATATCATAAAACATAGCAAGCCTTAATAAACCATTAAGATGGGATGCAAAGAAAGAGTTAGGCTAATTCTCATTTATGAGTTAAATTCTAACATAAGCAGATATTATCCAGATAGCCTTCAAAATTTGGTGCCCAAGTTAGACTTACTATTACATTTATTCAGAAAGAGAGAGACAGAGAGACTCACTATGTACCAATTAACTAAGAGCCTTAGAAAACATAGCTCTTCTTTTTAAAAATAACACTGTGCCAGCAATCAAAAACATCTCTTTAGTATCATTTTAGTATTAATGATACTCATGTATATTATAAAAAGATATGTACAGTTAGGTGGAGAGGTTAGCCAATCTTAGTCCCAGTAAATAGGACGTTGTGAAGACTGAATGAGAAAATAAGTGTGAAGGCACTTTGTAAATTATATGCAGTTTAGAGAAAACCATTATCATTATATCCTGTTTTGGTCTTAAAACACGGGACATTTTTTTTCTCATCAGATATGATAACGAAAGACAATCCATGGATCCAGATTATCCAAAAAGCATAGCAAGTACATTTCAAGGAATAGAAAGTAGAGTTGATGCAGTTTTCCAGCAGAATGGTAAGTAGAAAAAAACAAACAAACTAGTAATAAATTTGTTTAAATTTTTAAAATAGGACATTTGCATTTTAATATTATCTAGGGATAGGAATGGGGTCTTTTTAATTGAAAACATCTGAGATCTTCTAAAAGTTAATTCAATATATTTTCTCTCTTTTTTTTTTTAAACAGATTTTTTCCTTTTCTTCAGTGGACCAATATATTATGCATTTGATCTTAATGGTAATAGAGTTACTAGGGTTGACAGAAGCATTAGATGGCTTAATTGTAGATAAAGTTGAAGCAAGATAAAATATGTTTGTATCCATTTTCTGAATATGAATGGGAATTCTAATTTGCATATCATTACATTATGTCCTATTTATACTTTTCTTAACATTAAGTGATGTTGTTTGCTATCCCTATATTAATTGGACCTGTCCTCAGTGAAAATACATTCAGAGTATTCCACTGTTTGCAGAGTCTGATTTAGTTCTTTTATATTCCATCTCAGGTTAGTGAGTCCATCACAAACAGAAGGAGATTAAGTCCTCTTTGTCACCTCAATATTCACTATTTCATTACTGGTTTATTTGACTTCTAAAATGCTTATATATTCCTACATCTCTTTAAACATGTCTTAAGTATATTGTTACGTGCAATTTAGCACTGTATTTTAGTTAGAGGTAAGGATTATGAACAACATAGACAGTACCCCTTGCCTCTACCAAAAATGTGGTGGTATTTTCCACTCTTGGAAAACAATATTGTTGGGTTGAAAACAGGTTGAATTGTGTCCTTCCCTCCCCGCCCCCCCACAAATATATTGAAGTCCTAACCCCAGGTACTTATGAATGTACTTTGTTTGGAACTCAAGTCATTGCAGATGTAATTAGTTAAGGTGAGTTTATGTTGGATTACAATGGGTCTAAGAACTGCTTGTCCTTCTGAGAAGAGGAGAGACATAAATGCACAGTGGAGAAAGTCATGTGAAAACAGGCAGAAACTGGAGTGGTGCATCTATATGCCAAGAATTGCCAAAAACGACCAGAAGCTGGGAAGAGGCAAGGAAGGATCCTCCCTAGAGCCTTCAGAGAGAAGAACGTGACCCCCCTAACACCTTGATTTGGGACCTCTAGCCTCCAGAACTATGGTAGAATAAATTTCTGTTGTTTTAAGCTACCAAGTTGTGGTACTTTGTTATGGCAACCCTAGGAACCTAATAAACATTTGCACTTAAGGAAATAACTCAACACAGAATGATATAGTTGAACCCCCAGTAAGGATTTATTGGCATCTTCCCAGGAGGAGCAGCAAAAAGGATAAGTACCTCTTGTTTTTCTTTCCTCCTCCCCACCCTATCCTTCTAGAGTCAAGTAAATGGGCTCATTGGAACTTTTGTTCCATATTTCTTTTTTTCTGAGATACTCAGGAGGATAACGGGGGTTTACTACACAAACAACAATGCTGGATACAAAATTCAATAAATCTCACTAAATTCAATTAAATTGAGCTTAGATGCATAAATTTGCTAATGGCTCTTCTCTGTTAAGAACCTTAAGACTTGTGGGACCATAGTGGCTAGTCCAGATATCAAAGTCATCATAAAGTCCTATTTGCAGTTGTTAGAATGTAATGTACCTTATTACACAATAAATATGTGAATTGTAAAATATATTTCTGACTAACACATCCTATTTTCTTTTTCTGTTAAAGTTTTGAAATCTCATAGATAATTATTATTTAGTATAATTTAGCACCATATTCTGGTTCACAATTATCTCTTAAATGAGTTCAAAATAAATATTTTATTTTAAATAACTGACTTGTGATCTATTATTTCTTAGATACTACCACATAGTTCATTAAAGTATAAAAAAAATAGTAAGTTTTGATATATTTGCACCCATTTATTCCCCTGTCAGAATTATAATATTGGTGTTAAGATTTTAGATATTGCTTCACAGATCATGAAATATTTTATAAATACTCAAAAAATTCCCTCAAATATATCAGCACAGTACTCTTAATTTATTTTGTAAGATGAAAAAACAGAAACTAGTATATACTATCATTTTAATCATTCGTTCCTTATTCAACAAGAATTAATCAGTCCCCTACATGTTACAAGTGCTGTGTTAAAGAAAGTGAGAGAGATGTTGTATAAATAATTCATTGTATCAATGTAACAAGTGCACAAGGACCTGTAAGAAGTTGGTATTTCACTTTTAATAGAACATTCAATTTCAGGCTATCATAATTTCTAAAACTTATGTAAGGTTTTTACAGGCATGAAGATGGAAAATTCATCCTCTCAGAACACCTGCCAGTTGTCCTAGCTAGTTATGACAGATTCTTGGCCCAAACCTCATCTCTACATTTTTGAGTTAAGAACTTAGTTAATATTCTTTTTTAACCATATTTCAATCATAAAAAGTGAACAGAAATATGAAGTTAATACAGATTTCAAAAAAAATGTATTTCTTTTTCTAGGTTCTTTTCTTGACAATATGTGGTATTTTCTGGCTGAAATTTTATGTGAGTAGAAGAGACATAAGAATCTAAGCTTAGAATTTAAATAATGAGATTACTTTTTATCTCAGTTTGAGTTTTTTTGTCAGAGGCAAAGCCTAAGACCTTGGTGCAGTTGTTTTATTCGGGACATGGTCCAAGGAAGCAAGAGTGAGGTAGCAAACAGACTGAAACAGAGAAAGAGGAAAAGCCAACACAAGTATGTGCTATCAGTTTTTTCTACGGGCAACTGGAGCTCAATTTCATCAGGACCATCTGGGAAGCCTTCAGAACACCATTCAGTTAGTTGTTCAAATCTCCTATGAAAAGGAGGCTGGAACATTCATCTTTCAGTTCCCTTCCCCACTGAGCGGCTCTCAGGCATTGACTGGTCAGGCTGTATGGCATCTCAATGCTCTGGGCAGAGAGCAGACAGACATCCAGTATGTGCTTAAGGTTGGACTTTGTCAGAGCAAAGTGTGTTACACAGACCTCTCTGCTGCCAGTGAGGGGTGCCGAAGGCCACTGGAGGCATCTCCTCCATCTTTGTTTTTGGGAGATTAAAATGAGGGAAAAGATGGAGGAGTCTTCTCTGGAGAGACTTACAAATCCAAGAAAAAAAATGATTTATAGATACTGACACTGTAGAAATCTCAATGTGGCAGAGGCTGCTCGTTGCCTACGTTAATAGGATTCTCCTCTTTCATTGCTGTAGTAAGACCCCAATTTCATTTGAGGTAGCAGTGAATCCAGCTAAAAGATTGCAGTTTGCAGCCTTGCTTACAGCTAAAGGTGGCCATGTGTTTAATTTCTTGCCAAAATGTGAAAGCAGAATATTGTGTGGGCTCCTGGGAAGAGTCTGGGAATTCACTTTATTTGCCTTCCCCTTCCTGCTGCCTGTAATGAAGATATAACGGCCAGAGTTTGAGAAGCCACCTGGACCAGAGGCATTGCACTGAGACAGTGGTGCAGCAAGACAGATGCTGCCCACATCCCTGATGGTGTGGAATTGTCACACAAGCTCTGAAAAACCAAATCTGGACTTTTCCTATGTAAGGGAGAAATAAATTTTTATTTTATTAATCATCTGTTTTTGTTCTATTATTATTATTATTAATTATTATTATTATTATTATTATTATTATTATTATTATTATTATATTCAACCCCAACTAATACATCACATGAAATGTGTGGAACCCACCCCACTTCCAGGCAGTGAAGGTCGTTGATTGACATACCCTGCCCATGTAGACAAAGCTTCAAGTCAGCTTTCTTATCTCTCATTCTTAAGCAGACCGCACAACACAGAGCCTCCAAACATTTGGAAAGAAAACTAATGTGAATAACAGACACCAAAAAAGAAACTTCGAAGAAATAAAGACAATCCTAGGAGCAAAAGAAAATATCAGAATAAACTAAAATTGTACCTAACATTCTCAAATCATAAGGCCTATTTTACATCCCAAAACACCAACAAAATGCAAAAAAAGTTAAAAAAAATAAAAAAGGATACTAAGAGAACTAGAAAGAGGTCTTAGCAATTTAACATATCGCTAAAGTAATAAACTCAGTAAGTGAGCTGGAAAATCAAGTTGATAGTAAAGGATATATTAGAAACATAGATATTCAATCCAGAGGTCCAATAGATGTGTATTCCAGAGAGAGAAAGAGGAAAATGGGTGGGAAAAAATTATCAAAGCAGTAATATTGGAACATTCCCTTGAACTGAAGTTTTCATCGTGAAAGGGCCCACTTAGTCCCCAGCAATGCTAATGTAAAAAGACCCACATCAAGACACATCATTAGGGCATTTCAAAGTATCTAAGTAAAAAGAAGACTTCTAACATTTTTCAGGAGAAAAAAATGAAAAAATCAAGAATCAGATTAAAAGGCTCCTCAACAGCAACATTAGATTCTAGAAAATAATGAAAGAGAACCTTCAAAGTCCTAAGGAAAATTTATTTCAGGCTGAAATTCTATATCCAGACACACTCTCAATCCAGTGTGATGATGGAATGCTAAAGGGCATTCTTAGGCATGAAAACGTTTTCCTTGCACCTTTTCTTAGACCCTCCATCTCCCATGGCCGTCTACTCATATATTTGCTCCGGTCAGGCCAGATTTTTAACAGCTCATTTCTGCTGCGGTAGTTGCTTCCTACAGCCTCCCTCCACTCACACACTTTCTCCCTTCCTCTGTGCATTCTTCAAGGCCCAGTGTAAGCTCTACCAGCTTAAAGACTCTAGGTCACACCCAAAATCAGTGATCCGTCTACCTTTTGGCCCTTCTCAGTCTCTGGAATCTTCTCTGAACACGGGCCACTTGCCTCCCTTTTGTCTGTCATGGGTCTCTGTATATGACTGAATTCTTCAACAAGATTAGAACAGTATCTTGTTCATGCTGCATTTACAGTGGCAGGCAAATAGTAGGTACTCCATAAACATTTTATATTTACCCTGGTTAATGAGGGTAATCCAATTTCTGATTCAACTGTCTTTTCATGATACCATGCTTCCCACAATATCTTAGGGTTTCATACCCAAAAAGTATTTTATAAACTCTCAAGAATTTATGGATAGGAAAATCTTCAACTTTGCAAGGACAAAAGTAACTCAGAGGCAAACTTCATATTATATTTTATTCAGTAAATGAACAATGGCTCTGTTTACTAAACCATTGTAGATCATGATTGCAAAATCAATTCAACCTAAAAAAAAAAAAGCATAATGACATGCTTCATGGCAAATGTTCTTTTTCTGTTATTAATTAAGTGACGATACAAAACAATCCATGCCACGTCTCACTGTCATTTCCTAAATTCTATGCAAACATAGCCAGGCTTCAACTAGAGAGAGGAATGAAGAGCCTTCTGCTTCTATTTGTGCTTTTTATAATATTTTCTTCTGCATTTCCTACAGACCGAAAGATGCAAGAGGAAGAAAACATGCAACTGGCTCAGGTACTGGCTTAATAAATGTTATTAATGACTATAAATTGAAAAAAATCATTTTATTGGTTGTCTTAAGACCTAAAAAGACAGCAAATTCCTACAAGAGTCCTGAACTCTCTTGTGAGAAGCAGCTGCTTATCATTTCCCTATTTCTAAGGACATCGAGGAACCATGTGAAGGGTGGAAAGTGGGGGTGCAGTGGAGGGGGGGGAGGCAGGATTTGCTACAACTTTAAGTTAGGAACTAGTGAGAGAAGAAAAGGGGACAGCCCTGCAAGAAGTGGAGATCCATCTCAAAGCACTTCAAGACCAGCCAGGAGGCTCCAACTATAATTTGGAGCCCCTTATATATTGATTTAAACACTCCTTCTAAAAAACAGTCCAGTTAATTTGCCATATTTGATTAAATCAATTGAACTTATACAAGATGAAAAATCAACTATCTCTTCTAGAATTTGTTTCAAAGAAACACCAAAATGAGAGTAACAATAAAAATATGTAAGATATGTGATCACTTGACACATAGAAGAAGCTTGATTCTTTTTTGTGGAGTTTTATGGGCTGAGTCGTTTTGCCAATTCTAGTGACACACAACTCAACCAACTCTTGGAAACTGAAAAAAACAGGATGATTTCTTTTTTTTCCTCTTTGTTTCCTTTCATTCTTCTTT